ACTTAAAAAAACCCTAAAACCCCCTCTTGGCCAGCAGTGTAAACTAAACTATTCTTTTGTATGCCTGTGTATACCAAATAAGATAGAAACTTCTTTGAAGTTCATTTCAATAAAGCATTTAAAACAACTGTTTCCTTGCAGCGGGATAGTGCTAAGAAAGGCTGGCTGTTGGACAGCCAGTTTACAGCCCTGGAGCTGGAGGTGGAGTGTTGCCTGCTCGCTGGACCAAGGTCCTGCAGCATCGCCTGTGCCTCCTTCCTCTTTATTATCTTTTAGTTGAGTTCTTTTTTTTTTTTTTTTTTTCTTTTTCGTTTTTATTCGATGAGTAAAGATTTGGAGGAGAAAAAAAAATATTGAGTCTAAAATGTTGCAGCATTTTCTGGAAAGTTTTCTGTCCACTGGGGTTAAAGCTCCATTTTTGATGGACTGCAGTTTGTTGGAAAATGTCACCCATCTCTACTCTTGGCAGCTTTGACGTGGTTTCTCTTGCGTTACTGATGTCATCCACTGATGCGAGTTAGATCTTAGAACAGTAAATTTAACTTCTGATGTGTATTCAAGTGAGGGACAATAATCCTAAGCTACTCGTTTTCATAACATTACTCTATGCACATGCTGTGTTGAAAGCTTAATGTTTCATGATTGGCTTATAACTGGAAAGGAAGAGAATCTTGATACACAAGGGTATCTTTTGAAAAAAAAAAAAAAGCCTGCTGGAAGCATGAGCTTCTAATGTTGCTTGTGCAGATTTTATATGCAGAAGTTCATAGGTCGGTGGTGAGACTTTGCTTAGCCTCCAAGCACTTGCCATAAAGCTATTTCTGTCTTTGGAACAGACAGTGAAAGCCAAAACCAAGTGAAAATAGATTCATTTGGTTAAATGTTTCCTTTCAACATATCTTCGGAACGTCAGCAAAGTGTATAACGTTTCCACTCACCTGAGTAATTTTAGCTGTTTTTCCCACAAGAATGCCCTGAGAAGCATGAGTCGCTGTCCAGGCTGAGAAACCAGGTGTGTGTTTCTGGGGGCAGGGGGGGTAAAGCCATCTGTGAGCAAAACTGGCTTTCACGAGGGCATTCTTGTTTCCCCAAGCAGGGCAGCAGTGAGCTCCAGCAGGATGCGGCCCTTCCTCTTGGCAGTACTGACTTCTGCTGCTCCCCACCCCAACCCTTCTCCTTTCATCCCTTTGTCTTCATCCCACCTCCACCCCTGGGATTTTGCCCCATCTCCATCCATCCATTTTGCTCTGTCCCATCCGCTCCTGCCTGCAGCCTCTTTCCTGCCTTGTAGTTGTCTGCCCATCCCTGTCCATGATTTCTGTGTTCTTCTTGTGCTTTTGTCTCTATCCACGGGTCCTTCTGCCTCACCAGCGCTGGTCCCCCAGCCTCAGGACCCTGCCGCAGCGGCATTGCTCTCGGCTCCCCAGCTCCTGCACTGACTGTACGCACGTTCCCAGCTCTCCACTGGTGCTCTCTGCTCTGCAAAATGTGTCGGGAGCACTCAGTATAAACAAGGATTTTCGTGTTTGCAAACTGCGGTTAGCTAACAGGCCAAAATAGCTTCAGACATGACAGTTGTTTGCGTAGGATGAGGTGCGGTATCTGGAAAGGCACTGGCCGGTGTCCATGCCCGGTTAGGCAACTGGGAGAGGTTTTTTTGGGAAGCGAGTGCTGCGTGTTGACAGGCGCATCCTGAAGAAAGGCTCCTCACTCCTTCCCAAAGATGGGCAGCAGGAACCATCTTCCAGGCTCTTGTCCCGAGGAGAGCGTATGCCCTTTCGAGTAAGACAAAATACCCTGAAGCAGCAGCAGGCGTCTCTTGCTCTATTTTAGGCACTTCCCTCCCAGTGGTATTCCACTGCCTGAGATTAATAGTTTTCTAAATAAAATCCCATAAAATGATGCGATCTGGCAGCTCGGTGTCTGTTCCGCCTAGCTCTTGTGTAAGTGCTGTCACCGTGGTTGGAAGACTCGTCTGAGGAGCTGGGAGGAAGACATCGCCTCTTAATCTTCCAACTTACTTTTTTTTCTTTGGCCAGAAAACTAATACTACTCATGCATCAACACTAGCTCCTTGCTTTTCTTTACAGTTCTTTAGAGAATTATCTCCTTTGACCACAGACAGACTGAGAGCAGCACAGAGACCAAAGTGCTGTGCTTGCCTTTTCTAGCAGAAAAAATACATTTCCAGCTTTGCTAGCTCTTCATAAACAAGCAGAGAGGGTTATCTGCTGTGATAGCCCTTTGGAGCCGCAGTTGTGAACTTGGGATCTGGTTGTGCTACCTGTAGCTGGAAAAACAATCCAGACACTGTCCTTGCTCCATAAAGCTGGGAGAATGGGCGAAAATACAGCAAAACAGGCAATGTGGCAGTGTGCAGAGAGATGTTTTGCATACATATGTGTAAGAGGAAAACTCTATTTAAGTTCATCATGTGAAATAATGGCAACATAGGGTAGCTAGAGGCATTTTCTTCATGTTGAAGAAGCATCTTAATGGCTGAGGTAGTCCAGCCCTGTCAGAATGGGTGCTGCATGGAAGGACTGGGTATGCGGGGTCTGCCTGTGAAGGGGTTGTGCTGTGAGACTGAGCTGAGATGCTGGGAGGAATGTGAGGATGTGTGCATGGCTAGGAGGCAATCTAATAGTAAAAATGATTTAAAAAATAAAGAGACTTCTCAGGAGATCAGAATGCTAATTACTGTCAAACTTAGGCTCTTGTTTTACATGGCAGAGTGTATAGTTTAATAGTAGATTGGGTAAAAACTTGGGTTTCTTTTTTTTCTTAAGAATTCTGGGACATCTCAAAGTGTGTTCTCACAAAGCAGCAAATTTTGGACAAGTTAAGGACCTGAGACTAATGAAAACTAGCTGAATCTGTAATTTACAAATGGTGGGAAATGGTTAATTAAAATATAACTAGTTTGGGGAAAAAAATTTCCACTTATTCCCAGATCAGTATGTTGCCTTAGATACTGACCGCTGGCAGAGGAGTTTACAATTACAAAGACCTTTCCCTTATTTTAGTCCTACAGAATAGTTCATGAAGGAAGTGTTTGCTTTTTTTTTTTTCCTCTGAGCTGTATCGCACAATGGAGGAAAAACTTCCCCTGACTGCTCCCTCCTGCTGTGACCCCTGTTATTAAAGGCAAGCGAAGAAATCTCTTACCAGTCGATTTGAGTCTGCTGAGAAATGTTTTTCTATACAGCCTGTAACATGAATTATTTCCTCGGGGTGGTATTAACTTTTTTATTTTTATTTTTTATTTTTAGCCATGATGAAAATTAGCTAATGCCCAGCAATATTCTTCTGTTTAAGGGTACAAGGGTACTCGCTAATTGAGTTCAGCGGCTCCTCTGCTGACATGCCAGGAGGAATTACGATGGCTCTTGCAGCCCTGGGGCAGGCAGCTTCCCCCCTGAAGCTGGGAGCACGTTTTTCCTCTGTCGGGAGAGCAGGTCTCTTTGCACTACGCTGAGCTAGACGCAGAGGGAGATCTATCTATCCAGGTTTTTTAAAAACAAAGCACCCCACCCAAGATCTAGTTTAACCTGGGCTGGTTCCCTATCATGGATTGTCACGCAGCCAGCAGCGATGGCTCCAAAGGAGCTGCTAAAGAACGAGTCGATGGATGCTCAAAGCCTGCCAAGGCATGGCAGTCTCCTCTTTGGGCTCTGCTCTCCCAAGCCGAGCCCTTCCAGGCAGCACTTCTCCTACACTAAAACCTCGCACCCTTCCTCCAGCTCCCGGTCCCGCTCCGTGCCCCGCGGGTGCGGGGCTGTGCGAGCCGGGGCGCAGGCACCATATTTGGCTCTCGGCTGGCTGCGCCCTGACCTCGGCGCTGCTCGCCGGGAGCTGCCTGTTTTCCCTTCGCCCTATATGGAGAGGCTGCTCGGGGAAGCTTGGTGGCTGACCTGAATTAGAAGCAGTGCAACATCTGTATGAAGCGCTGCTTTTGTTGCACTGAGCTAATTAAGTTAAAGCCAGGCCTTGGACCGGTTTTGTAGTGAAGAGAATAATTGGAAGAGAACAAATTTCCCATTAAATCCCTTTTTTTTAATTGTTTGCCAGGATGTGCATGGTTATAATTTCCTTTATGGTGGTAAAGTCATGCAGAGGAAGAACAGAGCATAAGCAGAAGATCGCTGTATCAGGAAGTCAATAATTCACATGTGACAGTAATAAAAACCACCTTTCCTGTAAAAAGGCAGCACAGTCTTTGCCGCACAATCCTGCTTTTCACTTGGGTGCTGTGTGAGTACGCAGAGGACAGGCTGGCAGGGATCTCATCCAGCCTGTGCAATCACCTCTCTGAGACTTCTCCTTGAGTCGAGCAAGGACAGGGGCTGCGGGGTCGCAGCTCTCCAGAGACCATACCTGCCGCCACTGGAGCACAGCAGAAGAGGGTTTTGTGGGTTTTTTTGGTCCAAAGAAACACAGCCAAAATTGCTTTGAGGTCTTACTGTCAAAGATGACTTTATGAGATCTCTGTTGGGAGGTCCCCGCAGCGAGATGCATAGCCTACATGAGGAGAACAAAAACCTGGACTCTGGGAAGGGTGGGTTCAGCCTGTGCTTCCAGGGGCACGAAGGAAGCAGATTGTATCTCAGATGTCCCTACAGCAAACTTCACTGCACCTGGAAAAACAACATTCCCCCAAATTAAGCGTAAGGCCTGGACAACATAGCTTCTGCAAGGGGACTGCTTGCACCTTTGCTTTTGGTTGGAGACCTTTAAGGTTCACAACACTCAGATGTGTATAGGGACAGGGTCTTTAGACTTCAGCCTGTTCAATTATATAGGAGCCAAGTCAAGGCGCAGATATGATTCTTTAGAAGATATTTTTTTAGTCTAAGAATTTTCATACTGCTTCCATTTTCAACCTGTTTTGCACCCCCTTGTTTCTGCATTGAACCCTGGAATTGCATAATCAGCAGCAGAAAAAATGGTGTGACTGATTTTGTTTGCTTTCTCTCCCTGCCCCGCCTCTTTTGTGACAGATTAAAAAGCAGCAACAAGATGTGTTAGGTTTCTTGGAAGCCAACAAAATTGAATTTGAGGAAAAGGATATCGCCGCCAATGAGGAGAATCGGAAATGGATGCGTGAGAATGTCCCTGAAGACAGCCGGCCAGCAAGCGGGAACCCCTTGCCGCCCCGGCTCTTCAACGACAGCCGGTACCTCGGGGTAAGGGATGGCTCCAGCTCTCCATCTCTGCTTGTCCCAGTCCTCTTACTCGCTGCCACAGTCTGTGTTTTGCTGTTGTGATCAGCAAGAAAGGACTTGGCCAGCCGTATGTTCAAGTGTGCAAACTGTGAAGGACATGGAAGGTGTTAGACGTTTGCCCCTCCTCTTGGGCTTTTAATAATAATTGATTCTTGAATATTCCAGTTTTGCCATAGAGGAGAGAATAAAATTTGGACCTCCTGATTGTCAGATCATTGTGCTACTTATTGGAATGAGCCTACCACCACCTTGCAGTGTATATGTATTTTTTTCCCTGTGTTTTTTTGCCCCCTCTTATGGCTCTGAAAGTTTGCAGGTTTTTTTTAATTCTCATGTTCACCATGATTGTGAACTAACACTTCACAGAAATCTGGCACTGTTGCATCAACCTTATGTTCTGCAGCAAGTTCAGAGATCTGTCTGTCTACATGGGGTTTGCCAATATGTATGGATCCCAGATCGCTCTGAGGTCTGTTCATCTTCCAAAATAAATGCTCAGACATCAAATGATGTCTGCCATGACCATAAATCAGTTTTCTGATCCTTCTTGGGATCAGTTTTTGTGTACTGCTTGCAAAACGAAGGCGGTTGCGGTCCACTTACTCCAGTGCCTTGAGCAGATTAAAACTCATATTGCAAATACAATTCCTACTTGCAATTATTTTAATGCTTGATCAAAAGTAAGTTGCCCTGCAGCACTGCTACTCAGCGGGCCATGCTTGAATGATTATTAGATTAACTGTTGATTTTATTTTTAAAACTTAGTATCTTCTGAAAAGAGCTCACAGTGTGCATTCCTCTGGTGCCGTGTGTTGGTTTCTAAGTTATTTTGCAGTCTGGTCCTGACCTGCGAAGTCTGTAAGTCAGAACCTGCCAGTTCTGGACTTTTGTGAGGCGGTTCTGTGGCTGCTGAAAGAAATTATTCTCAATGCACCAGGTTTTTTTTCTTGCTTGTAATAAAAGCAGAACTTGAAACAATATCCACAGTGAGCTAATGTACAACTTGGCTCTCAAAATTTTACTGACTGTGGTTGTGACATGGAAAAAGGTTGGTTTGGAGCGACAAATATAATGATCAATAGTTGTCTGCAGCTGAAAGCTGAGAAGGGGCTAGTCACAAAGCATTGAAAATCTCTGTTCAGTTATCTCTCTTTAAAAACAAACAAACAAACAAAAGAGGCAAATATTTCTGTACCAGTAGGAAGTCCAGTTGCAACGGTATCACCTTTCTCGCTTGGTGTACCAGAGCTTTAGGGATGCAAGCAGATCACTGTGCAGTTGTCTTTTATCAGCGAAATGTTGCCGAATTTCTGCCGCATTGCTGCACCTAGATCTAGATGCTTGCTTATCAGAGATGCTTCTAATGTGTCCCCAGCTGCAACCCGTGACAGTTCTGTAAGCAGTAATTTTGGGGAGAGGGGTATAGATGCTTCAGACCAGTTCTTGCTATGGGTTTATTTCATCCCCCAAATTTTGGTTGGTGTCACTTTGAAGTTTTGAAGTTTGGTCAATTTGTGTAGCTGGATTCGAGTTACTACCATTTAGCTTTCAGGAAGGAAAAAGTTAATTCTATGCCCACACGTTTGAACCTCTTTATGTCTTTATCTGATCCATCTCAAGCATGAACTTCCCTGTTTGTTTCATCTGATGCAGCATAACTGGCAGAGGAATGAGCAAATTGACTTTTATTGGCCTGTGCACAGCAGAAAGGCTGAAACTGTAGATGCCGTGCAAGTTGGCATGAACCCTGCTCTTCAGTCACAGGCATTCCTTTCCTGGTAGATGCTATGAAGCAGACTGCTGGACTATGCACTAGCAAGATAAACAACCCCTTTGTTATCCAGCAGCCCCAGTACTGTCAACAGAAGGGCTTCAGGGAGGATTTAACGTAATCATACACATTTTTATCAAACTAGCACCCGAATGCTACGTGTACAATTTGAACAATAATTTAACATCCCTGATCTCTAGGCAGCTTGAATCCTCTGTTCCCTGTACGTTCTTCTGTTCCAGCTGCAACAGCCTCTTCTTAGAGCTGCCCCTGCTCTGAACACGCTGCTATTTTCAAACAGCATTTGCTATTTCTTAGGCTTTTGCCTACCAGACTGACAAGCATGCGAAGCAGCGTGCCCTTAATGGCAGCTCTCTCCCTGACTTCAGCCCGAGACTGAGCCTGCTCTGAGCTGCTGCCTTGCCTTGGGTTTCTCAGCGAGGACTTCTGCATCAAAGCATTCCCCACTAAAGCTGGAGAAAGCTGGTACTGTTGCTTCAGTTAAAAAGGAAGAGAAGGAAAGTCATAGGACAGATATGTGCTGAGTTTGGAAGTAGGAGTGAGGGAAGTATGTGGTAACTCGGACGATGGCGGACCTGCACAAACCTTCTGGGTTCGTTTGGTCAGTGTTTGGCAATTGCTGTTGGTGAGCCACACTGGGCTTTTTGCTTGCTCCTTCCTAACTTAGCAGAGAACTAAGCTGTGTTGTTTGTGCTCTGTACAGCACTGCATTCTGCCTCAAATATAAAAAAGGGCAGAGAAGGAAGCATTGTTATTTCTTTTATTATTTCATTGTTTTTACCTTAATTTTCCTGGGAAGTGGCTCTGTGCATACTTAGAGCAACTGTAGTGCACGCTATGAGTACAATGAACAGTGCCAGCTGATTTCCTTCGTTTGCGTAGACTAATCATTAATGGGAAACATGATGGGAAAGGATGTACTCTCAGTTTACAGGTTTAAATTTAACTTGTAACAGCTTTAAGAGTTAATGTCCATGGTTGCACAGTTGCCATGACTGACCAGTAATTAGCAATGGCACCTGTGGACATCAGTGTTTCTGATGACAAGGTATGGGCTCAGCCCGCTCCTGCAGGAGGGACATCCATGCCAGACCAGTGACAACTACCTTGCTATGGAGGCTGTCCCTCTGGGAAAGGCGGAAGCATCTCACAGCAGCATCTTGTTGCTACAGATACTGAAATTCCCAGCTTGTCACTTTTCAGACAGTACAATTTCTATGGTATCAGCGCTAATGATAAATATCTGAGGTGATGCTCTGAATTTTGCATTTGGCCACAGGAAGCAGTTTGCTCGGTGCGGGCTGGGTAACGCACCAAACTGAGCTGCGATTATTTCTGACCATTCATACTTCTGTCTTTTGTTTCCACCCCCCTCCCTGACTCCCATGGTGAAGGACTACGAAGCTTTCTTTGAAGCTCGAGAGAACAATGCAGTATATGCGTTTTTAGGCTTGACTGCGCCACCTGGTTCAAAGGTAGGTGTGTACATTTCTCACAGTAAACCACAACCTGTATTTTACACCTTGTTCTTCTCTGCTCATGGTAGGATCTTTTATGTGTTCTGTGGTTGCCCCAATCAATCTATCTCCCGGTCTGATATTCAGTCTCCAGAGACTAACTTTCAGGCTTCAACATCACAGCAACACGCTGTTGTTATGTGCTGGTTTATTTGGAGGATGCTGTGTTCCCTGGAGGCATCTTCCCCCCCCTCCTTCTACCAGAAAAACTCCATGTTCAGTACAGATGCTCTTTTGGTATCCTCACTGCAGAGCCACCCTGCTCTTTTATAATTTAATGGAAAAGCTTTTGTTGCTTTGGAAAGAAGAGCTGGGTCAAGTTCTTCACGAGTAATAATTGTCTCTTACCATTGGATTTTTTTTTTTTTATTGTACCCTCTGGGAACAAGTGAAAGAGTAGTTAGTATTTGCACTGAAAAATGCACAAGATATCTAGATGAAAAAAATAGTCACAAAACCAAAGAATTACTTCAGTTCAGTGAAAAAACTTAATTAATGTGAAGTTTTGACGAGATTTTTGTGCTAGAAAATTCCTTGAAACCAGAGTCACTGTTTTTGAAATAATCTGGTCTTGCTTCAGAGTAATTTTTTCCTCCAGTTTGTTATCTGAAGCCTTATTTTCCTTTGCCAATTACAAACTGGTTTGCTGGTTTGCGGATGCAATGGGCTGGACTTCTTTTGATTTTGATAGGATAGGACAAGCCTGCTTTATACGTTTCACTTGACAGCAGCAGGATCCTCCAGGTCACTTCCAGCTTTCTTGTTCCAATGAATAAACACGCCATTTCCTTTCAACTTTATTCATGTAAGAGTTGAAGGTCATGCTGTGCACATCGCTAAGAGACCTAATTTTAAAGGTGGATGATGATCCATCAGTATTAAGCATTACAAGTTGTGGGTCAGATTGAAACAGTTTTGGGAGCCAAACAGATTTCTAGCGGTAGCTCCACTAATGTGAATGGTGTAGCAAGGAAAAACTCTGCCTCGTACAGAGAATTGCAGAGAGTAAAACCTGTGATATGTGCCCCAGCTTCATGTGTCGCCGGCATCAGGAGGCCAGATGCATACAGTGCGATAGTCATGTAAATCTTATTTAAGTTTCTTGGAACATCTGCGCAGCACGGCACAAAAGACTATGCAAGATGGAGCCAAGGAGTGAGAAAGCAGCCCTGAGATCACGGGATGCAGGAAAGCCTGTGTGTTTCCCCTCACAGCCGAGATCTGGGAAGTGCAGCGGTACTGGAGAGCAGTTGCTGCCGTAATGAATCAGGTCATCTGTATCTATAACACTTATGAACATTGCTGCTTACTTAACCTGACAGATTGCAGAAGCAGTCTGCATGGCTATTACTTGCTCCGATTCTGTCCTAAGGGGTGGGTTTTAAGGAAAAGGTGAGTTTTAAAAGGGAGAAACATAATGCATTTGTACTCTGCTGAATTTTCATATTGCTTGCTACAGCATGGGGAGGTGCATTTGAACCAATGAAGATGCCCTTTGCATAAGTGACCTTGTACCCAGTGCATTCTGCTGTTGGGCTGACTTTTAGTATCCGTCCCACAATTACATGATGTCAAATCAAGCTGATTGCCTGCTGCTGAGGCAGAGAAACTGATTTGTAGATGCTGAATTTGGCATTTACAGCGTAGCTGCATGCAGCTTGGATATATTGTAGTTAATGACATTGCGTCTGCATATGTTGCTACATAAAATGGAAGGAGTCTGGGATCAACCTATTGACCTTGCTATGGCAAGAGAGGACCTTGACAGCAAACCTCCATTAAATGTCATCATGAGAGATGTGGAAAGTTGTTTGATTCTGACACAAAGTTGCAATATTAATGCTAAACAAGAAGGGCTCAGAAGTGAGCATGGGAAATGCAAGTAACTATTTACTGAACCCTGGTGCTTTGGTTTGTGCTTTGGGCACTGAGAGTACAAATGGACCTACAAACCCTGGGAAAGGTTGGCATTCAATTTAGCTTAAGTATCCCCACTTCGAGCAATAAGGGTTTTAAGGGGAGAGGATTTGGTGAGTTAAAGACTGTGAGTAGTTATTTAAGGACTGAGAGCATGCTCCATGAGGGGCCTCGGGGGAGAAACAAGAAAAAGTATGAAAGAGGGATAGTGTCAAATCTGAAAAGCTGCGCCTTTCCCAGGTAACTAGCAGGGCCATGCCCAAGGAAATCAAGTTTGACCTTCAAGACAATTAGGTTAGCATGTTCTCTGAGTTACTTGTATCCACTTTCCTGGGGATGATGGAAATACCAGGAATCCTCTCCAGCTTACCACTGCCTGTTTTGAAGAGAAGTACTTTGTCCTCCATTTTCTGGGAAAAAAAAAAAAAAAAAAAGCGCTAGATGTCACTTCTGTAGTGCCACGACTGGTTAATGGAGTTGTTACAAAGCCAAGGGAACCATGTCCTCTTTGTTACCATTCAAAGAATCACTTGTCTTCTAGAGAATATCAAACATCCTTTTTTTTTTCCCAGGCTTTGTAGACCTTTTTAATCTTTCCTTCATTCTTCACCTGCCTTTTCTGCCGTGAACTTGATAGGATGCCATTGCACAAGCAGCGTGGCTGCGCCGTGGCATCCCGGCTCCGCTCTTTGACCTGCGACGTGCGGCCAGAGGAGCAGAGCGCAGTCCGGGAGCGCGGCAGACCTGGGCCAGAAGTCCGAGCGAGGCTGTTCCCACGCCCCTGAGTTAAAAGGCAGCACGATGCGACACGCTTGGGCAGATAGCCAGGAAAACCAGAGTGATCCACCACGTCTAAGATAACGGAGATATGCGTGGTACTTCCTGCCCTGCGGGCTGGGGTCACCCGCTGTGTCCTCTCTCTTACAAGTCTTACAGGCTTCTTGGAAATTCCCTTCTTAGTCCTTTCTCCTCTTGTTTTTTGTTTGTTTAGTGTACTGGCTCATGTTAACAATGATGCTGTTGAGTCTGTTATCTTCAGTATTTCTACGCAGTCACCAAAGCAAACAACTCCATTACATAAAAGTTGAGTTTAGCAGAACTTTTTCCTTTAAAATAAACCATGCTGTCCACCCTGGAGTGTTGCAGTGAGAGCACTGTGACTGTCCATCTGTTTGTAGGCCATGTTGCTGCTAACAGGTAATTAAATTAATCTTGAGTCAAAAGTACACTTGTAGAAACCATCTTCAGAAAAAAATTCCTTTCGCATTTCTTCTGTTGTCATTCTGTTCCCGTTTGTGACCACCTTGCAAAGGCTGAAAGACGACTGAAAATGCAGGCTATTGGTTTTTAATGTTCCTTCTGAAACATACTGAGAATTGTTAGAGGTTAGCTGGTACGTCCACTAAACTGCTTCAGCTGTTCCTTCATCTCAGAAGCTTCACAGGAATGTTTTCATGTAGCCAAAGGGCACCAGATCTATACCAGGTCCCTCGAAGGGGTGTGGGTTGGGAGCCCTGGGCATGGAGAGCAGGTGGTAGGCAGGAGCGGCTCCCAAGGAGCAGGTCCCTGCTGGCTCGCTGCCCCCCGCAGCGGGGAGCTGGGATGACTCGGCAGCGCCGGTGCCAGGACAGATCTGCTGCCAGCCCCGGGATGGAGCTCACGTATGGGTCTTCTGCTGGAGCAGCTCCGAGCTGTGTCTAAGGACTCACAGGCTGCTCTGATCACCCTTCTGGAAGGCAAAAGCTAAATGCTGGCTTTTGGTCGTTTGGTAGGGTTTAGTTCAGAAAGTAAATTATGTCTCTGCTGAGACGTGTTTGTTTTTTTTTTTTTTGTCTTCCTTTGTTTTTTTTTTGATGTGGAGACTTTTATTAATTAAGAATTCCTTTTCCATTTAACCATAGTTCTTCAAATAATCTTTGATCTCTAAATAGTTCTTGTGTCCTAACATGATATCAGGGATAACTCATTATATCTGATCTTTTTTTTTTTAAACTTTTATGATCAAAACTGATCTTGGCCACAGGTCGGAATATTCCTGCAGGTCCTACCTGAGCTAGCTTAGAATTGGAGTTAAAGCCAGCACTGTATGGGACTTGTTTTATAACGTCATCGTAGGCAGTGGGGACTCTTCTATTGAGTTGGGTTCAGCGCTGCTCAATTCTTAATCATGTATTGCTGCAATTTCTGTTATGTCTCATGTTGGTGCCTAACACAGGTATGTGTAAGTTGTCGCCTTTCATAAAGTACTAATATGTGTAATTCTGTTCTGCTGTTTCAGGAAGCTGAAGCACTGGCAAAGCAGCAAGCATGAATTTCAACTGCCTTAAATGTTCTGTAAAGGGAATCTCCACAGCTTTTTATAAAATAGTACAATTGTCTCTGCTTCAAGAAATGTAGATGTGATTTCTAACATTCGATTGGTGCTTGCAGCATTCACCATACATAACACAAATTTGAACACAAGATGAAAATGTGAACATAAAGGTAGAGAGCACAGAGTGAATTATTACCAAGTTGGAAGCGTAGGAAACTGAAGCAATTAGATGAATGATTTTCACATAGTTTAAACTGTCTTGGCAATTTGTCCATTTTCTGTAAACTTCAAGAAACTATTTTAGTACTAATAATACAGATGGGGTTATACCTAAAGATCCAACTATTTAAAATATGGAAAACAAGCAACAGCATCTAAAACCTTGTCAGATACTAACTGTAGTGCCTGAGTTGCCTCAGAAATGTTACTGAATTACACAGTAATTTTTCAGTGTCTTTTCTGGTTTCAGATGAAATTGTAGGTGGTATCGTGTAGTATAGCCATTGTAGTCACTTTTGAAAGTTGTGTTTGTTCTTTTGTAGAATGGATATTTAAGATTTGTATTGTAACACACTGTACAGATGATAAAAAAAAAAAATGCCATGTATTTGTCACTTAAGTGATCCGTGTGGGCTCTTTGGACAAAGAAAAAGGGATTTGGGCAATGGACAGCCTTTCCGTTGGCAAGTTCATCACACAGCTGCCTAAGCATGGCTCGATGACATGTCTGTCTGCCAGATTCAGAGTGAAGTAGGCGCTAATTCCCAGGCAATGTTGCAAATAAGCCAAAACGGCCAGAAATGGCATTTCCTTACCTGTGTAAGGGTGAAAGCCTTTAATGTATTTCTCTACAAAAATACCAGTTCACACTGCTTATAGTATTAGGCATCTTACTGTATGTTCAAGTAGTCATTAGATTCATATACTATTTTTTCAAATGGGGAAATAAATGTTTGAATAGCAAGAACTATTGTAATTAAGCAAGACTTTTTTTTTTTTAAGGTTTAAAAATTTTTTTTCCATTGTTATTGCCATATCATGAAGCTATTACAGGAATTGCGAATCAATTAAAGTGTCTTGTATTGATGAATTTACCATGTGCAATATTAACCTGTCTGTTCTCCCAGTGCTCATGAGAGAGACTGTATTTCTTGGCCATATTCTGCAAAAATACAAATAATTACAAGTGCCCTGAAGGATAAGAAACAGGTTTAAAAAGTGTGTGGGTAATTTAAAATGCATTTTGCACCACATAATGTACTTATTCCCCAAAAGCATCAAAAGACAGTGAGAAAGATCATTAGTCCTTGCTATAGTTAAAGGATCATTCTAATAGCTCTGCACACACACACTTTGATTTTCTTTGCTTTATGAAGACAGAAAAACAGGTGGTACAGATCAGCAAAAGGCTGCAGCTTATCATAGCCATGCGGTTATTTTACACCGATGCTGTAAAATGTGTGCAGTGCTTTTTAAATACTTTCTGAAATGGCTTACAGTTCATAGTTTTGAAGTCTGAAATTAGGAACAGGATAAAAGTAAAAACTTACAAAGATGTTCTAAAGTGTGGCAATTTAAATACTTCCCTCACCAGTATTTCTCTGGGGCTTTTGTTCCGTTCACTACAACTGATGATTTTGTCAACATCTATTAAAAGAGAAATGCAGCTACTTGCTTTGGTTGGAGGGGAGCTCTGCTTCTAGAGAGCTCGTGATGAAACTTCCACGGACGTCCGAGTGAGCAGGATCTAGCATGGAGCCAAGTTAGTTAAAATGGTATTTAATTCATGTTTTGTCTTTTCTGATTTGGGAGCCTGGGAGTGAAGCTTGTCCTTACAAAAGCAAGCACAGTATCAAAAAGCATAGGGATAGATTAATGTTGCCTTACCTTCAAGATTAACACACGCATTTGTGCTTTTCCATTAACAAGCTTTATCGGTAATTACTGAAATTTTGTGAAATTTATTCTTAAGATCTTTTGGGGATGGAAGTTAGGTTACATTTTAAATCCAGTGTCCAATTTTTATTGTTCACTAGGATTTCATCTTTCTGAACCGAGGTGATTTTTCTTTCTTGATATTGGCATAATCTTTCTCTGTGTCTAAACTAGTGAGAGAGTTTTTGAGAAAGTATGTAAGGATACTAAGTGAAGTCTTGTGAAGAAAGTGGAATTTGACACACAAGTCACTATACTCATGCCAATTTGCTGTGTTTCCTGTGTAAGGAAAGTATGGTGTAAGTTTTGTGAATTACAGTCATTATTTTGGAGAAGCCGTAATTGAAAGTCTCTGCCAAATTCTGGCAGTTCAGCGACCCAAAACATTCTGAAACGAGGTCAATCTCTGTTTCTGACGGTGAAGAAAATTGCCAAGTTTAAGAAAGCAAAGTCACTTCCCTCGTCTGGTCCCCCACCCTTGCCATATGGTAGCGTTCAAACTGTATCAGCATTCCTAAGAAAGCTCTGTTGAGACAGGCTGAATTATTTCTTTGTCCGGGGAACAAGGCACCAACACAATCTGAAAAATACCGAAAATATCTCTTTGTTGTGGGACTGCGTGGAAAACTTGCATTCATTTTGATGCAGATATCTTGCATGAATTTAGGAGCGCTAGGAATGCGTTGCCTATATGCTAGTTTTCTGTTTCCCATACCTGTGTTATGTTAATAATGGGCGCAAGAACTGAATTTGTTCATTTCTTCTTTTTTTTTTTTCCTATGTAGAAGGCAGGCATTGAGGATTTAACCTGTATATTAACCATTCCTGTATCATTCCAATAAAATTGTTTTAGAATGCTTTCTCACACGATTGACTTGTTTGCATGTTTTGTTCACGGTTTGAAGTGGTCCCGTAAGTTGAAAGAAGTGGAGTTTTCAAGTGAAAATACTGCTTTATTTTAAAAGTACAGGATCTATACGACAAAGTGAACATAACGCATCCACTGCTGCTGCATGTTAAGCCTGTTGGGTTGGATTTCTCACCTGTTGCAATTAATGGGTTTTAATTACTTTGGATACACCTACACAAAATAGACTTTGGAGGTTTTTGGGGTTTTAGGAGAGCACTGAATACACTTCCTAATTAACTTAACTGCTTTCCCACTCTTTCCCCAAGGCAGTTACAAATTGAAAGCGGACAGGGCAAATCCACTTCACCCCATGCCTGTAGAGCTTGCCAAACAGTCTCAGTTGCTTTTTTTGCAATGTGTGATTAATTAGCTTTATGCTGCTCGCAGCAGGGGAACTATGTTATTTAATATTTGTGTTGCCAGAGGGCGGTGTGGGATAAATGTTTGAACTAAAACTATTCATTTTTACCTTCTCTATTTGCCTGGTAGATCCAGCAGGTACATTCTTTTAAGCTTTATGTGCTGAAGTTTTGCACCACCTAGAAGATCTTCTGTAGACTAAAGAAGATGCATTCTTAGCCCCTAAACTGCACTAGGACTTGCCCAAATCCCAGACTTCAATTCACATCCTCTGAAGGAAACCAGTAACTTAACTCTTTAAAGAGTGGCTTGTGAGAAGGCTGCTTACTTGCCGTTTATAGTATCAACTTTTTTGTGTCTGAACAACTGAAGCACACCCGAGAGCCGTCAGTTACACCGATGTCTTTTAATGGTGTTTATTGCTTGTCTCTCACACTTACTTGCCTTTCTTTAGTGTCTTAAAAAATGGTCCATAATGTAAGATAAAAGGGCTTCTGATGCCATTTCTAATTATAATGAATCCCATTTACTTTCCCTGTATATACACTTCATTTATATAACCCAGAAAAATCTCTGGTTTTCTTGTTTGTTTATAAAAAGTCTTAAAATACCAAATCGTTATTCATTAATGTAAAGCTCAATACAAATAATTTGCAAAAATCTATTTAAAAAGCAAACTGCATGTGTGCATATAATGTTTACTTAACTTGCTGTTTCAGGTTACAATGGTGTGCACTGTAATAATAAACTTTACCAGTTAATGTGGGATTTCATTAATTCCACATTTAATAATCTGTATGTCATGGAAAATTCTGTAAAGTCTGACTATATCCTTCAGCTTGTGTTGCGCGTATTTCAAATACCAGAAATGTCTTGCAATACAAATTTGAGGTCTGCATAGCGGAACTAGGTGCCTGCTGGTCCCTTATTGACGAGACTTCATTCAGAGTCCGTCCAGGTTAACTTCACAAAGACAAAGCCCAGAACGGGTTAACCTGAGGTACGGTTGCAGTCAGCAGCAGTAGGTGAGTAAATGAGTGGCTCCTGAGCAGCTCAATTACGGGTAAGAGACTATATATATACACACATTAAAAAAAAAAAAAAATTTTAAAAAAACCAAAACTGTATATACACACTGTATATAAAGATCTGTTCTGTGTTTTGGTGTTTTGTTGTTTGTTTGTTTTTTTTTTTTAACATGAGAAAAAGGTATTAGCTAGTCCTGTGCACTCAGGCCCACAATTTGAGAAATGCAAGAAATAAGACTTACCAAGAACAACGTAATTAAGTTTTTTTCAGAGGACTAATTTAAGTCCATTAACATAATAGATTCAGACTGATCAGTAACCTGTGTTAAGAACTTTATCAGACCTCATCTCTCTCCGTTTTCCCCATTATGGTAAGAGAATTTTAATACCCAATTTAAAAAGAAACTGAGACAACTCATTACCTGGGTTTTTAGCCATTAAGGTTTCCTGACGTAGTGTTTTCCTCTTTTGCCAGTCTTGCTTTTTCAGGGTTTTTTTGCGATTTAAACAAGAGTGGGAGAGTGTGTATGATACTGCCTAGAGAGAGGCGTTCTGTGATCACATTTCCCCACCTCATCCCCCGCCTCTGATGTCGAGCTGATTCAGGGTGTAAGGGGAAAATGAAGGCATTTACTTATTGCTCGTTATCTATTCCAGATTCAAGTACTGGCACTGCATTTCTTCCTTTTTGTCCCTTTCTCAGAGAGATCATGACAGCACCTGCTCTTGTTCTGGAAATGGATCACACTTAGTATAGAAAAAAGCTGATGTGTGAAGCCCATCTGAATAGATCAGGTAGCACTACCTACACAAAATAATCCCACTCTACAAATAAATAATTATCAAGTAATTATCTCTCAGTGAGTTTCCTGCAGAAGTATTGTGTGATTTGTCCATATTATGTGGTCTTGGTAGAATGTTTTCGATTCAAAATTGTTAATAATGAACTTTTCAAAAGTTTAACAATTTTGAACTGTATTGGTAAACTTTTGGGAAAACTTTGGGAAATGCAAAAGGATTCTAAAAGTCAGCTTAAGATGATGAAGTAGAAATCACTGTCCTACCACAGGAGGTGAGCACTGCTTCATACTAAGTACTGAGTACTCTTGAGTGTTCTGAGTATGCAAAATACATGTATTTAATATGTTGCATTCATGAAGTATCAAAATTGGTCCTGTATACGGT